AATTTTACGAAATATATCTGTTAAAAGGAGATGTTAGTGTTATTTTCATTTCTGCGTCATTTAGACGACAATTTATCCACGACTCTGTATATTCTGATGAAAGAAGTGTATATGGGTGCACCTCCAAAAATATAGGTAATCAGAGATTGGCAGCTGATCCCTCCTCTGATCAAGCCCTAACATCTAAGTGTGAGGGGAATCTGGTTACTTACATTCGAAAACCAAACTAGTTAGATTCCATCATCGCTGATCGGACCCTGAACTACCAACAGTCACGAAGAAAGCGTGTTCCTTAAGGGAGGCCCCGTGCGTTGAACGTTTATTTCGCTACAGGAACTGCCCTGTCCTCACGTTTCCGTCTCGATAGAGTTCAATATCGGCTCCGCATCATTGTGGCTGACAAATTATTGTGACAATACGTCGGAAGGCTCTCATTGCTCTATCACACTTTCCATGGAAAGTGTTCAGACGAACTATATTCCTTAGTTCCACCAGTTCTTCACAACTAAGATCCACCATGTTACGCACATTCTTGTGAGCCACCGCCTTCTCTGCGTATACCACTGGTTAAAAGTAAGGTCTATTCGAGCAACTTCTTCCAGCGAACGACTGACTTTTTGAAACGACTCTCAAGAGAATGTTTCTCAGATTACAAAAATCTTAACCTGTTCAAGTTTAGGATCAACCGTTAACATCCCTATATATCCACATAATCTGTACTTTTACACCATAACCCTCTACCTTGTAATGGCTCTCGGTCCTTGTACAGTGTGAACGTCACTACACACACACACACACATATATATATATATATATACACACACACACACACACACACATATATATATATATATATATATATATATATATACATACATATATGCTTATACAAGTCCACACACATATGTATGTGTATATATATATATATATATATATATATATATATATATATATATATATATTGCCCCTGTCCTTTTTGCCCTTTTCTTCTCGGTGATGCTGAAATATGCATTTGCAGACACAGAGAGTGGCGTCAAGTTTCAGTTTCGAACAACAGGTTGTCTCTTCAATCATCAGCGCTTCAAAGACCCACCTTCGTACGCAAATTATTTGTGATTTGTTGTTTGCTGATGATGCGGCTCTTGTAGTGACATCCTTTGAGGAGGCCCAACAGCTAATAAATCGTTTCTCTGCTGCATGTAAAGCCTTTGGTCTTACACTTAGCATAAAGAAAACTGAAGTAGTGCACCAACCTTGTCCTACTCCGAAACAAAAACCACCAGTCTACAAATTTCCAGAGAGACCAGTGAAAGTAGAAGACAAAACCGTGAACTATGTAATGTCTTTCACCTATCTTGGTAGCAAAGTGAATTATAGTGGAACTTTAGATGATGCAATCAGGCATCGGATTGCTAAGGCTACCAGTGCTTTTGGCAAACTTCGCCATTGCTTGTGGAATGAGCGGAGTATTCGACTGGATACGAAAATTCGGGTTTACAGAGCTGTTGTACTTGCCATCCTTTTATATGGCTCAGAGTCATGGACTCCATACAGGTACCATATACGCCAGCTAGATGTTTTCCATAAAAGCTGTCTGACTGCAATCTGTAGAGTTTAGCTTCAAGATAGGACATCTAACGTAGACCTGTTTAACAGGAATCGAGATTTTTATTATACAGTCTCAATTACGGTGGACTGGTCATGTCTTGAGAATGTCTGGTGACAGGATACCCAAGATCCCAATGTACAGCCAATTAGATCAGGGCTACAGGAATCTAGGACGCCCAGGGCTAAGATACAAAGACAAGCTGAAAAGCAACTTGTCAGGAGTGAATATACCACATAACACCCTTGAGCGCTTAGCTTTGGAGCAGGTAATATGGAGATCAACGTATTTTAGTGGACTCGGCAATTTTCAATCTTCAAGAAGCGAGAGCAAGATCTAAAAGGTCAGCCAATCTAACAGTGATCGCATCTCACAATTCTCACACCTGCTCCATATGTGGCCTCCTTTGTAAATCACTAGCAGGTCTTAAATGCCACTTAAGATTATCGCATAAACTTTCATAACTGAATCAATAAGCTGGCAGATCCTCATTCGTCGAAACCGACGGGAGAGGCTATATATATATATATATATATATATATATATATATATATATATATATATATATATGAAAATATGAGTCTTTATATATATATATATATATATATATATATATATATATATATATATATATATGTATTGTGAAAATGTATCTTGTAAATTTGCAGATTATATGAAAAATTAATTTGAAAAGTTACAAAACCTGAGTAGACAGAATTTTTCTGTATTGTTCATCCAATTTGAAAGAAATCCTTCTGTGCAAATAACCCTTATCTATCTATCTATCTATCTATCTATCTATATATATATATATATATATATATATATATATATATATATATTTAAATATATAAGTGATCATTGAAGTCCACGAGAAGCGATAGTTTCTTTATCAATTAACCAAAGTCTACAACCAACTCATTACACCATACACACCTAAGAAATACAGCATTAAATCAACACAAGAAATAATCCAAATCTTAAAAACGAAAAAAAAAAAAAAAACTAAGAAAGAAACGACAGTTTAACTTGATGTTGACAGTCTATTTACCAATGTCCCTGTTAAAGAAAAGATTGATGTAATTGTAAAGAACAATTATAACAATCCATCTCTCTCTCCATTAAAATTAGACCTAACATATTACGGAAACTACTCTTGACGCGTACCACCGAGGTTCCCTTCTATGACCATCAAAATAATATAGACGTACCAAAGCTATGGTTTTCCCATGGGTTCACTTCTGGGACCAACTTTTAGTAACTTCTACATGGCTGACCTTAAAAATTAAATATTTAACACCACTAAAAAAAACCTTCATCTACTTAAGATATGTAAATGATATTCTCATTTTAGTTAAAAACAGAGACGAAATACATGAACTTCAAAATTTTCGAAGACATCCGTCGTTAGGTTGACATGTGAACTTAATAACAATGAAATTCCTTTGCTTGACGTATTGATAAACATTGATAATACATTTACTACCTCCCATTAATTGTACACTCTCATCTGTAAAGGTGAATGTCCTAACGATTACAAAATAGTTAAACGAAATTTAATAAGGTGAGCTAAAGCTTCAAGAAAAAAAGATTTTCTACACTGAATTAAAAACGTTATACAATGTCTTATTAATAATGACTTTCCTAATTACATTGTTGATGAACAAATTAGACCACATATTAGAAATATTATTTAAACATAAATCAAAATTAATACGTCCTCAAATAACTGTAAACATATCAACCTACTATATTGAAATCAAATACATTATAACTACAAACAAGATGAAAAAATACTAAAATATCTTATAAGTACCAATATATTCCCCACTGATCCCAGTAAAAAAAATAAAATTTGATAATATACTAAATTTAATACAACCAACTTAATCCACAATTACTCTTTTCTATCAACTAGTGATTTGCAAAAGACCAACATCGTATATCAATTTAATGTCCTTTGGGAGATTGTATTTCTTACAAAAATATAAATATATATGTTGGTTTTACCACTACGGCTATGTCAGTAAGACTTAAATTTAATTTGAATGATTATATTTCAGTCTCTGAATATTTGAAGGAACCTTCCTGTTTACATTCACAATTAAGACAGATATTAGTCAACAATACAACTACAATCCATTACGAAAATAATGAATAAAACATCAAATTCTAGAAGTCATTTACATAAAAAATTACGGCCGAAAATAAAGTCAGTTATAGCAAAAAAGTTCTACAATGTTTATTGCAGTAAAGCTTTTAAAATATCTAAAGTTGTTATAAACTACAATTAAAATAATATTTTAAAACACCTAACTACAATTCTATTAACAATGTACATAAGTTGAGTTACCTTTCTTACATAACGGTTAAAATGTTTCGAATTTTACGGCGTTCATGCTTACATATTTATAATGTACTTTAATTGTTTTTCTTAGAAATTCAACGCCAGAAGATCATTTTGGATGTGATTGAAATAACTTGATAAAATAAAAACCTTATGGATAATAACGGCGTTTTGCTCGATCAAATTCCTATTAACTCTAAGAAATTAATCTGTGAACTTGAAAGGATTGAAATTAAATAAATAATTAGACATAACATATCTACATTATTCAACCAAACATACTTGAATGAATATATGCTACCTAAATATACATATTTTAAATACATATTTATACATACATATATATATATATATATATATATATATATATATATATATATATATATTTACATACATACATACATACATATATATATATATATATATATATATATATATGTATGTACGCACACACACACAGATATAGATATATATATATATATATATATATATATATATATATATATATATATATATATATATATATATATGTATGAAAATGATCGTGTTTTATTGAATCACGACGCCAACGGCCAGAGGTGTATAATCCTTACTTCTTTTGTCAAGCAAGACCTTAACACTTAGTGTACTCTCATCATTATATCCCTTAAGACTCTGCACCACACACTCAATGTCATTTTGTCGCTGCTTTTTTGGGGAGGGGAGGTTATAAATGTGTTGGGGTGGTGTTCAGTTGCAAGTATCTGACATATCACTTTGACATGTGCGTGACAAAATACATATACGCAAATAAAGTATCTCCCAGTCCGTTTTTCTCTCTCATACTCTCTCCCTTTCTCTCTCTTACTATCACTTGCAATTTATGCTTTTAAATCTGTAGTTTATCTATCTATCTATCTGCGATATATATATATATATATATATATATATATATATATATATATGTGTGTGTGTGTGTGTGTGTGTGTGTATGTGTATGTGTGTGTGTGTGTGTGAGTGTGTTTGAGTGTATAGCTAACATTCTCTTATATATCCTTAAATTTTCAGATGTTCTTTTATCAATCCAATTTCTTTTCTATCTATCTATCTATCTATCTATCTATCTATCTGTCGGTCTGTATATCGTAGTCTGTTCATATCTTTTTCGCAAATTTAATGTTATGCTACTAAGTTTCTTAGTATTAATGTATATAATAATTATTTACATTTTTTATTACTTTTGAAGTGTACGTGTTATATACATATGTATGTATATATAGATGAAATTGTTGTTTCTTTTTTTTAATTAAACAGTATTCATTACATTAACCAGCCAGAATGTTCGAGAAATATTGTAGAAAATTTGTCTTCCCCCAACAGGAATCGAACCTGTATTCATATACATTAACCCTATATTTTATATATATATATATATATATATATATATATATATATATATATATATATATATATATATATATCACAGTATTTATATATACGTGTAGTATACTGAATAAAATAATTCATCAGAGATGTAGCTTTACGATATCGTCTTAAAGTCCGCTAAATAAGAAGACAATACTGTCGCAGATGTTTTTATATGTCGTTCTCTCGGACTTATGATGATTATATTAACATTTACTGTAAATGTGCGTATTTTAAAATGATTTTATGTATTTTTATTCTTATTTATTCTACAGTAACATGATTCTATGTGCTTTTAACGCGTTCATAGTGATGTTACGACTTCAGTATTTACAGATATAGAGTCAAATAAAATGACATACTTGATATATATTTTTCCATATGTTTTTTGACAAACGACGTGTAATCGAGAACGACTTAACTCGAAACGACGTAAGCCGAGGTATATCTATATCTATCTATCTATCTATTTATCTATCTATCTATCTATCTATATATATATATATATATATAACAAAAAAGAAGCGAATTATATATATATATATACACACACACACATATATACACCCCCCCCACATATATATATATATATATATATATATATATATATATTCACAGAGAAAATATAACTCCCTATATTTTCTGATTTCTTTTTTAATATCTGCGTCTGATGAATTGGATCGTGATTACGATTCAAATGTAATAAATTATAACCATGAGACTTTTATATTCTTGCTCTGTCTTGTACACCGAGCACTTCCTGGATATATATATATATATATATATATATATATATATATATATATATATATATATATATATATATATATATATATATATATATATATATATATACTAGTATGTATGTATGTGTGAGTGAGCGTGTGTGTTTATTCCAAGTCGTCCTGTTTCACAAAGCATTATTCTTGGTGGCGTAATTGGTAGCGGCTTGGAATGATAAATCTGAGAACCAAGTTCGAATTGGATTTGTGTTCGTTGCATTCACTTACGTGTAAACAATCTTGCAAAAGTTATGAATTCTTCTCCTCCTCCCACCTGTGGGTTAAATAATATATTTATATCTGGACAATCTATTAAAAGATCCACAGGTAATTGCTAAGGAAATATTTAACTTGCAAAATGTTATTCTTCTTCCAATTCAAAGGATATCCCAGCTTTAATTTACACGACAAACCGGCGGCAAATCGTAGAAAAGAAATAAATCTCGAAAAGAACAATGGTAAAATCTCCCTCACCTTAGAGTTGTATCCCTCACACACATTGTCTATCTCTGTCTCTATCTCTCTCTCTCTCTATATATATATATAATTATTTATTTAAAAATATGATTCCATCGCTACATAAGATTTCTCAGGTTTCAAAACAAGGGCCGAAAACTTCAATATAAGTATTTGAATTAAATTGAATTAAAGTACTCTGTTCCATCTTCAAGCGAAATCATTTGAATAACTAATTCTTGAAAATTAGGCGTTTTAACAAGCATATTCATTATTAAAATTAAAATTACTATGGTAACGGCTAGAGCAATTATTTCAAAAAAGGGGGCGTAAGGGTTAATAATTTGTATCAATGTCTCAGTTACATTTAAAGAGGTCAAGTCAGGGTAAGGCTGGGGTGTCTAAATTCAAAGCGGAAGATGACATCGTCTAGACTGGTTAAGTGTCTATGGATATTTATTTATTTATTTTATTTTATTTATTTTTTTATTTTATTTTCTTTCCTGAATGCTCCTTCAACAATATTAATAAAAGAAATCAGACATATCTATCTAATATGTTTGGCATTTGAAGGAAATGTATAAAACACCAAAAGTAAAATGGAAAATTATAAACAAAACTAGAACTTGTAAAAAACACACACACACACAGACACAGACATATATATATATATATATATATATATATATATATATATATATATATATATATATATATATATATATATGCATATATATTTATATATATATATATATATATATATATATATATATATATATATATATATATATACACGAATTGATAACTGTTGTTAGAAATTGGGTACATCAACAACTAGCTTAATTTTACGAAGCGTTGATTCATGTTTTAATTCGTAGAGAGAACATGGCCATTGAAAGAAGTAGTTACTATGTTGAGAAGTAGGGATGTGAACCTTTGATGGATAGCTATATTTTGATGCACGACATTTTTGATTGTCTATTTTATTTTTTTATATCCTCAAACAGGTTGTGTTGCTTTTTGACACAAACTCATGTATATAGAACAAGTCAGATCCTTTTTGCCTCGTTCTCTTGCGCTAAGCTTTATTTTCTTTAAGAAATCTCATTATTCCGAGTATTGCTTATTAGATACGTTTTAATTAAAGGAATTCGATAATTTCGAAAAAATCCGACAATCAATAACACATAAAAATATCTTTTTAGTAATTTTTTTTATGAACAAAATTTAAAAAATTACAGAAATTTAAATTTGTATTTATTATATTTTCAAAATTGTTAGCTGGTTTTCTGAAAGTGTTGCATGCTTGTCAATCGCTACAAAATATCGATCGTAGACATTTTATTTGTTTATCTATTCTTCAAGCACACCCTCAGTGGGTCGATCCAAGTAGGGGGACTTGGTTTAATCGCTTGCGCCGTGGTGTCCTCAGAATTGAAATACTGAGGGTAGCGTAAGCTATTTTTCTCTCTTAGTCCCATGCCTGATGGTGACTCCCATTTTAAACTCGTCTTGTGTTTCTCATTATTAAGCACCGATGAAAGTGCCTTTAGAAAGAGGCAGGCACTCAAAAAGAAGCTTTTTATTTGTTTTAGCGTTGTTAAACTTTTAATCAGCAGAAGGCATATAACTAAACCAAACATATAACAGGCAACGGAAAAAAGTACAGTACTTCCTCGATTATCCGGACGACTTTTTTTACTTTTTCCTGTGAAATCACCATTGCACTCGATGTGAAATCTGGGGTTTGATCTAATAAGTACGTGCATCAAATGTTAGTTTCAGAGCTTTTGATATTTTTTAAGCATTTAATTTTAAAAATCGTCTGAAAAATGTACAGAAATACATAATTTTGCAGGTTTTTGATTACTTAAAAATTTTGCTATTTCAAGAATAAATCCAAATAAAGTGTATATATTTTGTATGAGATACATTAATTGGAAAATATATTAAAACCAGAATTCCAATTATGAATCACCAGAAACAATTATTTATTTATTTACTATATTCGATAAACTGGGCAAAATAATTGTAAAAGATTACAAAACAAATTCTACTCAATGAATAAGATCTGTTAGATCATTTTAGATCACTTGGTAGATCATGATTAATAAAAACAAAACAGATTAAAAAATGTCTATATAACTTCATAATACGGCCGGACACACATTCACATTTACATTGTTTATTGAAAATCACACTAAAACTACAGCACTCTATAATATATTACATAATAATGTAGCTACATTGTTCACTAAAAGAAAATTATAAATTTTACAAGACCGTACTACGAGGCTTTCACTGATCACCGGAATTAAATTTCGACGCTACCATTTTGAATCTAAACTTAATCTTTTCAAGTCATTTTCTCAAAAATTTTTTAACGATTTGGAAGAAAAAGCGTTTCATTATTTATCCTCTCAAACCCAATTTTTATATTGATTGCAGCACCACGTTTTCAAAATTTGCCTGCCATCTTGGAACACGTATTGAAAAAAATATGTTAGGATAACTGGATGGCAAATTTATCGAAAAAGAAAAATGAAGAAAAAAGTTATTTTCTGAAAGAAATAAAACATTTATATAATCAAATAACATCTTTAGACGTTTTGCAAGGTTTTTGTCCAGCTTTAAGGTTTTATAAAAAAGAATATGCGTCACTTTTAGTCTGTTTTGATTTGGCCTCTTATCTTTTTGACGCTGTCTTCTGAACTTCGATTTACGTCAATGTATTTTTGAAGGTTAGCTTCTAGCTGAAATCGTTTCCAAATAAAACATTTGTCAATTTTTCTCAAACCCTGCGTATGACTTTTCTAAATTCTGTAAATGTTTGCCTGAAACGAAATATTAGAATGGGTTTAGTTCAGTAAATTGAAAAATATCTGAATAATTCAAAATTTTCTCTACATTTTACGTCCGGAAAATCGAAGTCCGGAAAATAGAATGACGGATAATCGATGTCGCGAAAATCGAAGAATGGATACACGAAAAAACACTGTAGACATTGCTTTATAGGTATCCAATATTTCTCATTCTCCTTAATTCTCCTTTTACTACTTTGATAGCTTGATCGTTCTAGCATGTTCTTTTTGAGAAATGCATGTTCTTTTTGAGAAATGCATTGTTTGCTTGAAGACAAAAAAAATAAATAAAATAGGAAAAAAAGAATAGAAAAACAAGTGACAACTCGTGGTTTATAAAATCATCTCCAAGAAAAGTGCTATGTATCACCATGTAGAAGATCTTGGTTTAGCCAAATAAATGCTCCTCGAGGAGTTTTTTTTTTCGCAATTTCTTGTAAATCCAAATTGGATTTATCATCGCAGTTGCGGATGCAACATTACAGTTCCGTTGTTCCAGACAATCGGGCCAATTTTCAGCTCGGGTTAAATTTCTGGCAACGTCCTTTATATCCCTGCTACCGCCCGAGCAGAAGCAGTCAACCATGATTCTGCTGCTCCAGCTGGGTGCATGT